ACTTCCACCGCATCCTCGAGATCCTGATAATGCAATGAACTTCTTTGTCCGTCACGAGACTCACACGGCGAGTTGCAGCAAAGGTCCTGAGCTAGAGTTTTGGTCATAGCAACATATCAGCATGTAATTGAGCTGTGCAAAAGCTCAAGCAGATTTGGTAAGTGGAACCTTCGAAAACTGTGCGTCAAACGGATCCACACTACTTTTGCCCCGCTAAAGTGGGTGATTAAACTTATAGCTTTAACTTATAACTTTAGAGGTAAACATACATTGAACTGTTCTTCTTTATATTATAGCAAAGTTATGGATTTGTTAACAAAATCCACAAATCAAAGACTTCGGCCCAAAATGTGAGCGAAAAGTCTACTTTCACGCAAGATCGGCGTCAAAAAGGAACGAATGCGTAGATGGTCGATTTGTTAAGATTTACCTAAGAATCGAGAAGTTTTGCTCAGAAATGTAACTCACGGTTGTCATCATCCTTCTGGCTACTATCAAACCATAATGACACCAGTAGGTGATTCTAATTTCGCGTTAATTCAGTGGAGAAAACTTTCCTCAATGCGAGCCTCTGCGAAGCAAAGGCGATGCAGTGGTAATAACAATAATTTTCATTTGATGAGCTATATATGAGCAAGTCTGAGTTCAAAATAGACTAGTATGTCACTCTATTACTAAGTAATAAGTACATTCCGCGAGTAGCACAATGCGAGCATGTTCAAAGCTATTTGCAGAGATGAGAGGGTGCCGCCACTGCACTCTGTGGTCATCAGCCGATCTCTTCAAACAGTATCGGTTCTCCATTATCTCCCATTTGCAAATAGAAAGGTGCCAATAAGTACCAACCAACACAATGAAAATCATCTTGACTTGTCAAATACACTAGCACTTCCTTCATGAGGACCTTGATTTTTTTGCTATGTGAGTTTCTTTTATGATATGGTGTGACTAATTCTTGAAGAAGTGATATGATAAAGCTGCTTTTATATATTGCTCAATATGAAATTTGCAAGCAAAATTACTTTTTTATCTGTAAGAGTTTTTGTCTGTTTGAATTTAACCGATTGTTTCTGCACTACTCTATCATTTTGTGCAGTGGTTAACCTGTCGGATTCTTCATGAATGTAAAAAATAATCTTTTATGTAAGAAATAGAACTTAAGACGTTTCTTATAATTATGCTTTAGATACGATCATATTAGTGTCTGCTGTGTCAACGCAAGAACAATATGAGAGGAGAAATCGTCGAAACACCAGCGGTAAAAAAAACCCTAGAACAACGCTTTTCATAAAAAATACTTCAAGGTTCTTCACTTGTTGGAGAAGTTTGCTCGTTCAATACGGATTGTCAACGTGGAATGTTTTGCGGTGGAGGATTGTGTCAATGCCTCTCCAACTTTGTCGCAATTGAGAAGCATTGCTGGCCCAGTAAGCAACTTTTTTGATAATTTTGATAGATAACGCATCAATTTTTCAGAAATCAATCCAGGAGAGTCTGGATGTGTAGAGAGAAAACAGTGCGATGCGGTTTGGCCGGAAGCGATTTGCTCTATGTCGGGGGTATGCGAATGCCCTTTGGATACGGTACCAAGCAAAACAA